GGTATACATATTCCTGTACTTAACTCTTATTTATAGGCCTAGGTACTGTAACTCATATATATATAGGCCTAGGTACTGTACTAAACTCTTATATATATAGGCCGAGGTACTGTACGTCTTGAAGGCTTCCTTCTGTAGGGGCCTTATAGGCTACTCCTATATCCGTCAGCTTGGTATATGACACTGTTAATGCTCTCCTGTTTATGTCTACCTATTTCTCTCCCCATCTCTCGTCCCCTTCCTCCCTACATTGGTCCATTCTCTTCTTCCTCCGTTTCTTCTCTCTGTCTCCACCTCTCCCTCCCCTCCTCTCCCTGATTGTGCAACATACCTCTTGCCTGTAGCAAGATTTTCACCCAAGTTTACCTTGGTTTGCCAAAGTTTTGCAGCAATTCCTTGCGTAGTTTACAGAGTTGGCACGCACGCGCGCGCGCCTACACGCCCGCCTCAACCAAGCTGGGGTCTTTCACTTGACAAATCCTCTTGTATAACGTTATTGAACTTTTCTTGCTCGTCAGCGAGGTGTGGTAATGGGTAGTTTGGCGTGGTTAGTGGACTGTTTACATCGCAAGCCCCCACACCAGTTGCCTTACTCTACGGGGTACCTCTTAATTGCTGGGTGAACAGAGGTATCAGGCCCAACCGTTTCTGTCCTGCCCGGTGGGATTGAACCCGGGATCCTTGATTGTGAGTCGAGGACGCGTGTCACTGTACTGCTGGAAGCTGCTCAGCATGTGGCGGAAGCTGCTCAGCATGTGGCGGAAGCTGCTCAGCATGTGGCGGAAGCTGCTCAGCATGTGACGGGAGCTGCTCAGCATGTGGCGGAAGCTGCTCAGCATGTGACGGAAGCTGCTCAGCATGTGACGGAAGCTGCTCAGCATGTGACGGAAGCTGCTCAGCATGTGACGGGAGCTGCTCAGCATGTGACGGGAGCTGCTCAGCATGTGACGGAAGCTGCTCAGCATGTGACGGAAGCTGCTCAGCATGTGACGGGAGCTGCTCAGCATGTGACGGAAGCTGCTCAGCATGTGACGGGAGCTGCTCAGCATGTGACGGGAGCTGCTCAGCATGTGACGGGAGCTGCTCAGCATGTGACGGAAGCTGCTCAGCATGTGACGGAAGCTGCTCAGCATGTGACGGGAGCTGCTCAGCATGTGGCGGAAGCTGCTCAGCATGTGACGGGAGCTGCTCAGCATGTGACGGGAGCTGCTCAGCATGTGACGGGAGCTGCTCAGCATGTGACGGGAGCTGCTCAGCATGTGACGGGAGCTGCTCAGCATGTGACGGAAGCTGCTCAGCATGTGACGGAAGCTGCTCAGCATGTGACGGGAGCTGCTCAGCATGTGACGCGTACAGCAATATATACGACGCCCAATAATTCTGTTTATTCGAAGTTCTATAAACCCTTATCAGACTTTCGTTCAATAAATATAAGTTCGTCTTCGTGTATTTAGGCTGATTTTTTTGTATTAAAATTACCGATATAATTATGTTAATCAGCTCTAATCCCACTTTTATCCGAGGCGATTCAAGTCAACTGTAATCCTAATCTTGACTAGCGCAAAACTTGGGAATTTTCATTTAATTTTATTCGTTATTTTGGGAAATTTTGGCTCTAATTGAAACATAATTATGAGGTACGTTTTTCTTCCCCACGCCCACAGGTGGCCTTAATTAGTTGGGATATTGTAGAAGTTCCTTTGAGGACCAGGGTAGAGGAAGCCACCTGAGGAGAGGTAGGGGGGGGGGGATTACTGAGCAGAGTCGTCAAATTCCTGTGGATCCCGTCCCATGCTGGAGGCTGTGGGAATGAACGAGCAGATGTGCTGGCTGCTGAAGGCGCTGAAGGAGACCATATTGAATACTTCATACCCAAGACTCTGCTACAAATTAGAGGTATTGTCAGGCAACATCACCGTGACAAGGTAACTGAGGAGAGGAGGATAGAAGCACAAACCTGTGAATCTGTACGATGGTACAACGTGGTTGCAGCTGGCAATCCCAGTCATTATGGACGAAGAGGAGGTGGCCGCGCGAGAGAATCAGTAATAGTGAGAATCCGTCTTGGATACAAATATCCATGGAGGGTCGGGATGGAAACAACAGTTGAGCAGCGGAGTTGCAGAATCTGTGGTGAAAGTGACGGACACCGCCTTGACCACTACCTTAGAGAATGGGGACATTTAAAGTCATTAGAAATATGTGTAGAATAATAAACCCACATTGTTTGAGTTAGGAAAACACTATTTGTCAAATATATATACTGTTCTTAAAAGATTCCCCCATTTTGCATCCGCAAGATAACTTAAGATTTTAAGGGTTGACGAATGTTAATCTTCTTGTTTGAGGAGCTGTTCACTTGAGAGAGTTAAGCAAGTCCCAGCTGTGTTTGGGTACAAGTGACAGGATGAACAACCCAGCGGGTTTTCTTCCTACTGGGTAGTGTTGAACATGCTGCTATAGCGGTGTGTCCACTCTCAGGATGAGTGGAGCTGCCCAATAAACTCGCCCCTCGGGGCAAAATATAAAAAAAAATGGTGGAAATGGGGATTAATTGGCGGAGGGGGATTAACTGGGTTGTGTGGATATTAAATGGGAGGAGAGGGATTAACTGGGGAGGGGGATTAACTGAGAGAGGGGGATTTAACTGAGTGGAAGGGAGATTAAGTGGATGGAGGGGAGATTACCTGGATAGGGGGATTAAGTGGGGGGAGGAATGGTTACCTAGAGGAAAGGAAGATTACTAGCGGAGGAGGAGGAGGAGGTTTCCTTGGAGGCAAATATTGTCTATAGAAATATCAACATTCCTCCCATGTTTACAAGTCTGTTTACATTGAGTAGAACCACAGAGTCACTCAAATGTTCACCCTTGAAGTGTAGCAGTGTTAGCACCCCCTCTTCCGATACACCCAGGTTCCCAGGGGTGTAGCAGTGTTACCAACACCCCCACCTCCCCCCTCCCCCCCCCCACACAACACACAGGGGATCCCAGGAGTGCAACCCAGTGTTGCCAGAACACTTACCTAGTGTATCACCAATTTACCCGACAGGAGGATTGGCGCATTAAGGCTGATGTGGAAGTGGGGGGAAGGTGGAGAGAGGGGGGGGGCAGGAGGGAGCTAAGCGCCACGACATCTAAGGTCTCCCTATTCTAGCTAATGTAATAGGAGTTTGTGCCGTAACAGCGGTGGTCGTTGAGAGGGTAATTAAGGAAACTCAGGTGTGGGGACTAGGCCAATGGCGGTCGTCTGTTGCCGGGCTCCTAACAGCTTCTCTGGGATTGGCAGATTTTTTTTTTTTACACACACACACACACACACACACACACACACACACACACACACACACACACACACACACACACACCTGGGGGTGGACGTAACACCTAATCTATCTCCTGAGGCACATATTAATAGGATAACGACAGCAGCGTACTCTACACTGGCAAAAGTTAGAACATCATTCAGAAACCTAAGTAAGGAGGCATTTAGGGCGCTTTACACTGCCTACGTAAGGCCAGTCTTAGAGTATGCCGCCTCATCATGGAGTCCCCACCTGAAGAAGCATATAATGAAACTGGAAAAGGTTCAGAGGTTTGCAACGAGACTCGTCCCAGAGCTACGAGGGATGGGGTATGAAGAGCGCCTGAGGGAACTGTGCCTTACGACACTAGAAAGAAGAAGGGAGAGGGGGGACATGATAGGAACGTATAAGATACTCAGAGGAATTGACAGAGTGGACATAGACGAAATGTTCACACGGAATAGTAACAGAACGAGAGGACATGGATGGAAGCTTGAAACTCAGATGAGTCACAGAGATGTAAGGAAGTTTTCTTTTAGCGTGAGAGTAGTGGGGAAATGGAATGCACTTCAGGAACAGGTTGTGGAAGCAAATACTATTCATAATTTTAAAACCAGGTATGATAGGGAAATGGGACAGGAGTCATTGCTGTAAACAACCGATGCTCGAAAGGCGGGATCCAAGAGTCAATGCTCGATCCTGCAAGCACATATAGGTGAGTACATATAGGTGAGTACACACACACACACACACACACACACACACACACACACACACGAACGTGCGTGTGTGTGTGTGTGTGTTCTTAAGGAAAGACAGAGTTTGCTTTGAATTAATTTTGAAGATGTGGGTTTAATATAATTCCGTATTTCATTCGCATATACGCACACATGCACATGCTCACGCACATGCACGCAATCATACACCCGCATGTGCGCACGCACAAATAAAAACAAACAAAAGTTGCACTGTCGCACGGATCAGTAATAAAAAAAACCACAAAAACGATAAACACAGAAATAAAAACAAAACAAAGAAAATATGTGAATTGAGACGTAACTCCCTCAAGAGTATCTGCGTTTGTTAATTTAATTATTTGTTTTTGTTTGACTTATTTTGCTCTGTCTTGTCCCATGTTCCTTTTTCCTTGTTCCATGTTTTCCCATATTTCCTTTTTCCTTGTTCCATGTTTTCCCATATTTCCTTTTTCCTTGTTCCATGTTTTCCCATATTTCCTTTTTCCTTGTTCCATGTTTTCCCATATTTCCTTTTTCCTTGTTCCATGTTTTCCCATATTTCCTTTTTCCTTGTTCCATGTTTTCCCATATTTCCTTTTTCCTTGTTCCATGTTTTCCCATATTTCCTTTTTCCTTGTTCCATGTTTTCCCATATTTCCTTTTTCCTTGTTCCATGTTTTCCCATATTTCCTTTTTCCTTATTCCATGTTTTCCCATATTTCCTTTTTCCTTGTTCCATGTTTTCCCATATTTCCTTTTTCTGTCCATTCTTCGTCTTCCGTTCACTTTAATAGTCTTATTCCCATATATTTCTTTCTGTCTCTCGCACGCTATTCTCTTCCTGGGTACATCTGTCTGTCGGTCTCTCTCATACTCTCACTTCTGTCTCTGTCATTATCGGTGATCTAAATAGGCAGACGCTGGCACTACCCCCCCACCCAGGCACTCCCGGCACTGTCACAGTAAGGCACTCTACCCCCACCCTGGCACTCCCTCCCGCTAGGCACTCGTGAGGAGCAGTGAGGGACATTAATTACAATTATCATATTCCACTGGCACCGTGGGCGACCAGAATACCAAATTGGTGATAACTTTATTGTGCTCTTTGTTCAAACTTTAATTGTTATGCTGTTCTTAGTCAAATTTTATTTGGTTTTATTGGCGTTTAATATTGTTTTTGTTATTTGTGGGGTGATTGTATCTGGCCACGCACACGTGCGCGCGCACACACATCTCTCTCTCTCTCTCTCTCTCTCTCTCTCTCTCTCTCTCTCTCTCTCTCTCTCTCTCTCTCTCTCTCTCTCTCTCTCTCTCTCTCTCTCTCTCTCCACAATACTCACTTTCCTCTTGAGATTCCCTCTCCTTTCACCTAACCCTCTTCACCACCTGTCAACTCCCCCCCCCCTCCTCCGGCCCCCCCCTCCCAAACCACCTCTACCCTGCTGTTTTCAATTCCCCCCCCTCACCCCCCCCCACCTCACCCTCACCCCCTCACTCCCCTCACCCACCCTCACCCACCCTCACCCCCCCTCACCCCCCCTCACCCCCCTCACCCCCCTCTCCACCTGCCCCACACCCCCACCCCTTCCAGAGCGCGTCCCCACCTGCCACACAGACGCGTTATATGACACAATAAACCCAACACACTCCCGCAATTTCAAGTGTGTTTTTAGATCTGTTGAGCATATTATAAATTGGATGCAGCTGTGAGTATGACGATATGTGCAGGTGGACATACTAATAGCATACTCGGTGTTCTGGAGTGGCTCGTTGCGTCCAAGTTGCTGCAAACCACTGCAAGTATATTGAATTTTTACGTCGAGACTCAGTTTTATATTTATATATCGGTGCGTGTATATGTTTTTCATGTCTTGGGCCAGCGGGCGTTCTTTCTGGGTATATGTGTGCCTACCTAGTTGTGCTTGCGGGGGTTGAGCTCTGGCTCTTTGGTCCCGCTTCTCAACTGTCAGTCAACTAATGTACAGGTTCCTGAGCCTACTGGGCTCTATCATATCTACACTTGAAACTGTGTATGGAGTCAGCCTCCACCACACACACGTGTATTCACCTAGTTGTTCTTGCGCGGGTGAGTTCTGCTCTTTCGGCCCACCTCTCGACTGTCAATCATCTGTTTCTACTACTACTACCTTTTTTTTCACACCACACACACCGCAGGAAGCAGCCCGTGAAGCTGACTAACTCCCAGGTACCTATTTACCTATTGCTAGGTAACAGGGGTATAGGGTGACAGAAACATTTTGCCCATAGTTTCACTCCGGCGCCCGGGATCGAACCCGGACCACAGGATCACTTGTCCAGCGTGCTGTCCGCTCGGCCACCGGCTTCCCTGAAGTGTGTGTGTGTGTGTGTGTGTGTGTGTAATTGTTTGATTTTCTGGATTTGGTTTATTGTTTTTGTGTATTTGTTTAGCTGTGTTTATGTAATTGTTGATTTCAGTTGAACTTCAGCTCCGGGGCCATTTATTTCAGTCGGTTTATGTATTTTTTTTTTTACCCCCCCCCCCCCCGTTAGTTCCATCCTCAAACAGAAAGTTCTGGTTTTTGGTTCGATCCTTCCGTAAATGTGTGTTCCTCTCCCTTTGGGTTTTTCATCTGTCGAAGTGTCTATGTGTATGTGTATATGCTTTTATATATCTGAGCCTCAGCTATGGCATGTGTGCGCGCGCGCGTGTGTGTGTGTGTGTGTTGTGTGTGTGTGTGTGTGTGTGTGTGTGTGTGTGTGTGTGTGTATGATCCGTGTTCCCTCTAGATTTTTGTGCATCGTTTGACATAATAATTTAAGAGATAGGTTGATAATTTCAGTGTATGATCAGTCATATTATAGACATATATAATATCTATAATATATTAATCTCTGTAATTAGGTATAAATATTCAGTGCATAATTTACCTAGAGGGGGGGGGGGTGGTGGTCACAATCTTTACAGCGGCCGCGAAGGGGACGGGAAGCCGGCGGCTTGTTAAAAGGTCCCCACCTTTATTACTGATAATTTGTATGTATCTATGATAACTTACCAAGTTTCCCAAACAAAGTTCTCAAGTCTGTAAGTGGTGTCGTTTTTTTGTTTTATTTGTAAACATTCGTGACAGTTTTATTTTGTTTGTGTTCGCCCGATGTTTATATTCTCTCTCTCTCCCGCAGGTAAGCGAGCCGGGGTGGCCACTTGGTGGGGTTAGCTATGATCTTCAGGTGAGTTGAAGGGGTGGGGGGAGGGGGGGGGGGAGGGGAGTGGTGTTGGTGGTTTACCGCCACATCAACTACACCACATCAACTGCACAAGATCAACTACACCACATCAACTACACCACACCAACTACACCACATCAACTACACCACATCAACTACACCACATCAACTACACCACATCAACTACACCACACCAACTACACCACATCAACTACACCACACCAACTACACCACATCAACTACACACACACATCAACACACCACACCAACTACACCACACCACTACACTACACCACATCAACTACACCACATCAACTACACCACACCAACTACACACAACTACACCACACCAACTACACCACACCAACTACACCACACCAACTACACCACACCAACTACACCACACCAACTACACCACACCAACTACACCACACCAACTACACCACATCAACTACACCACACCAACTACACCACTCACACACACCAACTACACCACGTCAACTACACCACACCAACTACACACCAACTACACCACCACACACGTCAACTCACCAACTACTACACCACACAACTAACTACACCACATCAACACCCACACCAACTACACCACACCAACTACACCACACCAACTACACCACACACCACACACCACACCAACTACACCACACCAACTACACCACACCAACACACTACACCAACTACACCACAACTACACTACACCAACTACAACCACATCAACTACCACATCACCACACCAACTAACTACACCACATCAACTACACTACACCAACTACACCACACCAACTACAACTACACCACACCAACTCAACTACACCACATCAACTACACACATCAACAACACCACACCAACTACACCACACCAACTACACCACACCAAACTACACTACACCAACTACACCACATCAACTACACTACACCACCACACAACTACACATCAACTACACCACATCAACTACACCACATCAACTACACCACATCAACTAACTACACCACCACACCAACTCAACTACACTACACCACATCAACTACACCACAACTACACCACACCAACTACACTACACAACTCACACCACATCAACTACACCACTACTACACCACATCAACTACACCACACCAACTACACCACACCAACTACACCACATCAACTACACCACATCAACTACACCACATCAACTACACCACACCAACTACACCACACCAACTACACCACATCAACTACACCACACCAACTACACCACATCAACTACACCACATCAACTACACCACATCAACTACACCACATCAACTACACCACATCAACTACACCACATCAACTACACCACATCAACTACACCACATCAACTACACCACATCAACTACACCACATCAACTACACCACACCAACTACACCACATCAACTACACCACATCAACTACACCACATCAACTACACCACATCAACTACACCACACCAACTACACCACATCAACTACACCACACCAACTACATCACCCCAACTACACCACACCAACTACACCACACCAACTACACCACATCAACTACACCACATCAACTGCCCACCAGCTATCACAGACAACAACAATTATGTCTTACCACCAATTTTAGTCTTTAACACCAAAGACTTGTCACCCTCTCCCCCCCCCCCTCTGTGGAGGAATAGGTTTGGGTGGGTGGAGGATAGGTAGGAGAGGAGAGAGTGGAGAGTGTAATAGGGACTAGGGGATAAAGAGCGTAGGAGACGAGGGGATACCTGCTTGATACCTGCTTGATACCTGCTTGATGGTTGTTGTTTTAGAATTAGCTACTCAGAAAGAAGTGTCCATGTAGCACGGGCTATGGCGAGCCCCCGTTTTCTACTATTAACGGTGGAGGTGGAAATGGAGTTTAAACATTCTCTCTCTCCTTCTATACACCATCTTTCTTCTTTACTCCCTCTCTTATTGCTTCTTGATACTCGGGAATTCTCCTCTACTTCGCTGTTTGTAAGGGGATAGAAATTAAAAGTTGGGAAATGGAAGGGAAAGAAGAGGGAAGGGGGAGAGAGGAAGGAAGGCGGGGAATGGAAGCGATGGAAAAGCGTAAACAGAAGGAGGGAGAGATAGAAAAGAGGGCATAGGTGAAAATGGAAAGGTGGGGAGTGTGTTAGATGACAAGGGGGAAGGGGGAGGTGTGGGGGAAGGATAGGCATAATGGTGGATAGAAATATAGAGAGGGAGGCGGGGACTAAGTAAAGGTTATCTTGAGATGATTTCGGGGCTTGGTGTCCCCGCGGCCCGGTCCTCGACCAGGCCTCCACCCCCCAGGAAGCAGCCCGTGACAGCTGTCTAACTCCCAGGTACCAATTTAGTGCTAGGGTAACAGGGGCATCAGGGGTGAAAGAAACATTTTGCCCATTTGTTTCCGCCTCCACCGGGGATCGAACCCGAAACCTAAGGACTACGAATCCGAAGCGCTGTCCACCCAGCTTTGTGGGTGGATGTTTTTGGTTGACGCCCTTGCTTGGGTGATATTTTGCATGTTGTCTCCTGCTGTAGCTCTATACACTCTTCCCCGTCAACCAGAGTCTGGTGAGGGGAAAAGTGATAGTCGTAGTAGTGGTTGTAGTATAACCAACCATTATAGACCCATAACATGCTCCCCCTTACTTCCCCCCACCCCCCATCACAACCTCTTCCCCACCACAACCTCCCCCCCCCCACCACAACCTCTCCCCCCACCCACACACACAATCTCCCACATTAAACGCTAAGACTAACGTTCTCTTATACGAATTTACAACCAGGCATTTTATTTCTTTATGTTGAGCAAGCTGGAGGAGGAGGGGGGGAGGGGAAAAGGTAGTGGAGAAGGGGGAGGAAGAGGAAGGAGGCTGAGGAGAGGGAAGGGAGGGCAAGATAGAGAGGGGGGGATATGGGAGGTGGGATTCAGAGATGGGGGGAAATGATGGGAAAGTGTCATGTACGAGGATGGGGGGCAAAGAAGGGGCTAGGGAGGGGAAGATGGAAGGAGGAACAGAGATGGGGGGTGGCCGGAAAGAGAAGGGATACAGGGCACGGTACCTGCAGGTTGAGGTACAGAGAAGGGGTACCCAGGTGAGAGGGTACGGAGAAGAGGTACCCAGGTGAGAGGGTAGAGGGCAGGGTGAGGCGCCGCTTGGGAAGACGGAGGTAGGAGACCTGGAGCTGCCTAAATAAACGCTCTCTGCGCCCAAGTGTAGAGCTGCTTACACTAAGTGATGATTTGCGTTCAAACATGCGTGTGTGTGTGTGCTGAGGAGTAGGGTAAGGGGTAGGCAAGACGTTCCTGAAGAGGTAAGGGTGGGGTAGGGGATGAGAAGTAGAGGTAACGGGTGTGGGAGATGATGGTGTTCTTCCGTACCGTGGGTTCTTGGGAGTGAAGGAGATGGACTAACAGGATGACATAGAGAGAGAGAGAGAGAGAGAGAGAGAGAGAGAGAGAGAGAGAGAGAGAGAGAGAGAGAGAGAGGAACTCAGTGAGTGACAGGCACATTCAAACCGAACCAGATTCTCTCTCTCTCTCTCTTAGAGAGTGAGAGAGAGAGTGTCTCTCTCACACTCTTAGAGACTGAGAGACACACACGTGTCATAATGTGTCGTCATGGCTACTGTAATTGGTGACGGGCACAGTGCTCATCCTGGTACCGTTAATGTTGACCCTGTGGACAATTGGACAGCTCTTAGTGCCACTCCTCTACACCTCTCTTTACCCCCCCCCCCCTCCCTCCTTGCTCCTTTACCCTCTTCTCTCTCTTCCTCACTTCCTCCTTGCCTCACACCTCCATATCCGCCCTATGCCCATCAACTTACTCTTCCCTGTTTCCTCCCATAATCCGCTTCCTCTGACGCCGGCCCTCCCCCCCCCCTTCCCGTCCTCTTACTCCCAGAGAGAGAGAGAGAGAGAGAGAGAGAGAGAGAGACAGAGAGAGAGAGAGAGAGAGAGAGAGAGAGAGAGAGAGAGAGAGAGAGAGAGAGAGAGAGAGAGAGAGAGAGAGAGAGAGCGCGCATTTCACCTTTGTAAATGCACATTAATGACACTGTAAAAAGACACCCCGAACACTGTTAATGTAGGACAGACGTAAATCTGTGTACTTTATGTATGTAGGTAACATTAACATTTTAAAAGCACTACAATCACCTTCTGCGGTTGATTGTTCGATAAGTCACTGAACTATATATTCAACAGATCTCTCACTCTGTCCATGGAGGACAGAAGAAAATGGATATATGCTGGTTAGCATTGTAAATGTGTGGCCACGTCTGTGGTAGAGTAGAAAAATAAACTCTCCTTTCTCCAGACTAACGTTTCGCCTCTTCCTTCCTCTCTCCTATTCCCTCTTCTCTCACTTCTTCATTTTCTACTTCTCTTCCAACTCTTCCCCCCTCTCTCCCCTCATCCTTTTCTCTCTCAGTCAAAGAGAGGAGAGCGGGCGGAACCAAGGGTCTTATACCACATACTACAAGTCTACCAAAGGTATAATTATCAGAAATATCACAACTTAGAAGAAAAAGCAGATGTGGAGTGTGGAGGTGTGTAAGTGTGTATGTGTGTGTGTGACAGGCAGCGGTATAAGGCGTAGAGGGGGAGGTGAAGATGGGGGGATGAGGGACGTGGTGGTGGGGAGGTATGAGGGACGTGGTGGTGGGGAGGGATGAGGGACGTGGTGGGGGAGGGATGAGGGACGTGGTGGGGGAGGGATGAGGGACGTGGTGGGGGAGGGATGAGGGACGTGGTGGGGGAGGGATGAGGGACGTGGTGGGGGAGGGATGAGGGACGTGCTCGTCTAGTGAGGTGCTCAGGGGCGCACAGATCTCATGAGGGGATATAGACTGGTGGCGGAACCTGAAGCTGTGGAGGTAGACAGCTTTCGCGCCTGTGAAGGCAAGGTGCATACACACACACACGCACACACACACACACACACACACACACACACACACACACACACACACACACACACACACACACACACACACACACACACACACACACACGATATTAGAAAGAACTTTTTTAGTGTCAGAGTGGTTGAGAATTGGAATGCATTAGGCAGTGATGTGGTGGAGGCTGACTCCATACACAGTTTCAAGTGTAGATATGATAGAGCCCAGTAGGCTCAGGAATCTGTACACCTGTTGATTGACGGTTGAGAGGCGGGACCAAAGAGCCAGAGCTCAACCCCCGCAAACACAACTAGGTGAGAACTAGGTGAGTACACACACACACACACACACACACACACACACACACACACACACACACACACACACACACACACACACACACAGCTCCTTACTGATGATCTGGGGGGCAGCTGTGGCGATAGGCAGAGTATAACGTCTAATAACAATCTAATTGCAAGTAGGATTGTAGCTGAAATCTGGAGATAGTGCGTGCGTGCGTGCGTCCATCCGTGCGTGCGTGCATCCGTGCGTGCGTGCGTTAAGGAGACTACGACATTAGGTTACAAGTGAAGATATCGAAGTCTTATATTTAAATGAACTATCAAAATCTCTCTTTTTTACACCCAGAAACATTTTTGTTTCTGAAGGGGGGGCGGCGGGGTAGGCCTACCTCAATTGCAACAGTAACAAGGCCTTGCAACAACAGAAGAAAAAATACATCATTCTAAACTAGAACAGCTAAAATTATACACAAGGCCAACAACAGCGAGAATGTATAACAACAGTCGCAACAACAAAAAATACATTCCTTAAAGTACCTCTAAATTCGACAATACACCCACGCCATACATATGTGATATATTCATCTTAAGTATGTCGGGCAGTTGAGTGTATATCGTATATGTATAATAATAAGGATTATATTCGTTGCTAAAACAAACATGCAGGCACACGCCCGCCCGCGCGCGCAGACAAAACAAATATAGTGAGACAGGGACAGACAGACAGACAGACAGACAGACAGACAGACAGACAGACAGACAGACAGACAGACAGACAGAAGAGCGGTAAGGGACAGGCAAGCGAGGTCTAATTGCAGATATAACCCCAGGTTGTGGTCTCCAGATAACCGGGAGCAGTAGCACGGAGCAGATAACAGAGGGCAGAAGGAAGATAACAACAGCAGCGAGCAAGGAACACGTAGCAGCGAGCAAGGAACACGAAGTACCGAGCAAGGAACACGTAGTAGCGAGCAAGGAACACGTAGCAGCGAGCAAAGAACACGTAGCAGCGAGCAAGAAACATGAAGTAGCGAGCAAGGAACACGTAGCAGCGAGCAAGGAACACGAAGTAGCGAGCAAGGAACACGTAGCAGCGAGCAAGGAACACGTAGCAGCGAGCAAGAAACACGAAGTAGCGAGCAAGGAACACGTAGCAGCGAGCAAGGAACACGAAGTAGCGAGCAAGGAACACGTAGCAGCGAGCAAGGAACACGTAGCAGCGAGCAAGGAACACATAGCAGCGAGCAAGGAACACGTAGCAGCGAGCAAGGAACACGTAGCAGCGAACAAGGAACACGTAGCAGCGAGCAAGGAACACGAAGTAGCGAGCAAGGAACACGTAGCAGTGAGCAAGGAATACGAAGTAGCGAGCAAGGAACACGTAGCAGCGAGCAAGGAACACGTAGCAGCGAACAAGGAACATGTAGCAGCGAGCAAGGAACACGAAGTAGCGAGCAAGGAACACGTAGCAGCGAGCAAGGAATACGAAGTAGCGAGCAAGGAACACGTAGCAGCGAGCAAGGAACCCGTAGCAGCGAACAAGGAACACGAAGTAGCGAGCAAGGAACACGTAGCAGCGAGCAAGGAACACGAAGTAGCGAGCAAGGAACACGTAGCAGCGAGCAAGGAACACGTAGCAGCGAGCAAGGAACACGTAGCAGCGAGCAAGGAACACGTAGCAGCGAGCAAGGAACACATAGCAGCGAGCAAGGAACACGTAGCAGCGAGCAAGGAACACGTAGCAGCGAACAAGGAACATGTAGCAGCGAGCAAGGAACACGAAGTAGCGAGCAAGGAACACGTAGCAGTGAGCAAGGAATACGAAGTAGCGAGCAAGGAACACGTAGCAGCGAGCAAGGAACACGTAGCAGCGAACAAGGAACATGTAGCAGCGAGCAAGGAACACGAAGTAGCGAGCAAGGAGCACGTAGCAGCGAGCAAGGAATACGAAGTAGCGAGCAAGGAACACGTAGCAGCGAGCAAGGAACCCGTAGCAGCGAACAAGGAACACGAAGTAGCGAGCAAGGAACACATAGCAGCGAGCAAGGAACACATAGCAGCGAGCAAGGAACACATAGCAGCGAGCAAGGAACACATCGCAGCGAGCAAGGAACACGTAGCAGCGAGCAAGGAACACGTAGCAGCGAGCAAGGAACACGTAGCAGCGAGCAAGGAACACGTAGCAGCGAGCAAGGAACACGTAGCAGCGAGCAAGCAGCGAGCAAGGAACATATCGCAGCGAGCAAGGAACACATCGCAGCGAACAAGGACACGTAGCAGCGAGCAAGGAACACATCGCAGCGAACAAGGACACGTAGCAGCGAGCAAGGAACACATCGCAGCGAACGAGGAACACATCGCAGCGAGCAAGGAACACATAGCAGCGAGCAAGGAACACATAGCAGCGAACAAGGAACCCGTAGCAGCGAACAAGGAACACATCGCAGCGAGCAAGGAACACGTAGCAGCGAGCAAGGAACAAACACATCGCAGCGAGCAAGGAAAATACCAGGTACCGCGGAAGAATTAGCACAGAGAAATACCATTGAGACATACCAGGTATCAGGGAGTAAAGTACCAGATGGCCTGGAGCAGTACCACTCATCACAAGATACTTGTGATGTATAAGTTATGTATAATTTACCCGCCAGGTAATCGTGAACAAATAGTGAATTTATGACAGGAAAATTACTTAGACTTGGGGGGAGAATGCCGCGCGCGCGCGTGCGTGCACTTTCAACTGAAGAATGAATAATTTATTGCAAGAATTTATCACCGGTCGCGTGTTTTTTTAGTTTGTACATGATTTCAATGTCTCAAAATCAAATTCAAAGTCAACAATTTTATTCCTAAATGGTTCTACACACATAATTATCCGGTGTATAAAGTAGCCAGTGAATTATAAATGAGTTCCAAGATTGAGTCTTTGGGGGAGGGTTATCTTGAGGTTATCTTGAGATGATTTCGGGGCTTAGCGTCCCCGCGGCCCGGTCCTAGACCAGGCCTCCTTTTTGTTACACACACCCCCAGGAAGCAGCCCGTAGCAGCTGTCTAACTCCCAGGAACCTATTTACTGCTAGGTGAACAGGTGCATCATGGGTCAAAGAATGCCCATTTGTTTTCGCCTCCACCGGGGATCGAATCCGGAACCTTAGTACTACGAATCCCGAGCGCTGTCCACTCAGCTGTCAGGCCTCTGTCAGGGTACATGGGTATGTTGGGTATGTCCTTTACCGGGTGCCTGAGAGTATGTGGTAATGAATATGTGATATGTGGGGCTGATGAGGAGGGAGGGGTGAAGTTCACGTAAAGTTTCTCATGGTGTACATGAGCACATGTGTGCATGAGCACATGTGTGCATGAGCACATGTGTGCATGAGCACATGTGTGCATGAGCACATGTGTACATGTACACATGTGTAAATGGGCACATGTGCGTATGATGTTGCAATGCAAGAAGCAACGGAACATATTACGGAGCCACGGGTCTGTTCCTTGTATTGATGACACCACTTGCTGATTCTATAACGTCCCAACGAATGTAAAAACCCAAAAAAAATTTTTGGGGGGGGCTACCACGAATAAATATCTTGTACTTAACGAACGAAGTCGTTAGGAACGCCGTGACCTCTGCTGGTAATGTCATCACGAACGGCCTCGTTAATTCTTGTTGAACGTGTCAGTCGTCCTTCAAGATTGATTGTCTCAAACCTTCTCCTTCTAACGATTACTTTCTCTCTCTCTCTCTCAGCTTTACCCCTTCGTTCGCTTCTTATTGTCTTCCCTCTGCTCTGTTTCCCTTCTTCGCTTCATTCTCAAGTCACACATTTATCTATTATCCTCTCCTCTTTCTCTATGTCCACTTTCATCAATATTCCCTCATCCCTTTCCTCACACCTCCCCCCCCCCTTCATTCCTGTTACCTGTCTCCATTCTTTTATTGCCTATTTATGCTTTATCTTCATGTTGTCTTATTCCTCCAATTTCATTTGGATATACATATTTACCCCCCCCCTCTCATCCCGCCTTCCTCTTCACTGTCCCGTCTCTTCTTGTGTCTCTTTATCCTCCCTATTCCATTCTTATTTTCATCTTTTCCACCTGACTCTGTATTTTCCTCCGCTTTTCTTCACTTATCCTTCCCTTCCTTCTCGTTTCCTCCTCTCATTTCCTTCCTACATACTTCCTTCTTTCCCTTATCCCAACTCATCTTTTCCTCATTCTTTCCCATTCATGGCGACGTTTCGTGATGACGTCAAGGAGAACATGGCATTCGTACGTCACAGAAAACGTAGCATTCGTGTTCACATCACGAGCTTTCGTAAGTGTTGCGTCTAATTACGTCAATTCGGGTACGAGAGCTGACGAGGAGGCGTACAGAGCGTGTAATTCAGAGTGAATATCTGAGTGAGGTATAACTCCTGGTTAGATATTCAGAGTGCGTACAGGGCGTCACTCTAGCAGGGCACAGAGTAGGGGGGGTGCAACCTGGGAAGGGTCAGTAGCGGGATTCGGGGGGTCTCGGTAAGACCACATGCAGGCTTCCTGTCCCCCCCAACCATGGACATTATGTTCTTAAAGATTTGCTGATCACTCATGGCGTCACTGAGGACATTGATATTTTGATGATCCCCTGTTATATATATATATATATATATATATATATATATATATATATATATATATATATATATATATATATATATAATCTCGGAATCCCATATTGCCGGTGTCAGCATTGAGTTTCCGTTCGCTTTGTCGGGTGTCTAATTAATCTGGTGGTTGGTGGTTACTGATATATATAATATTACAAACACACACACACATATATATTATGAGGGGCTACCCCGGCGGTGCCCGGGGTATAATCAGTCTATCTCTTCCCACCCATATTTCACCCCACTTCTCCCCTCTCCCTGTATCTTGCCTTTTTTTTCCCCATCTTCCATCCCTCTCACCTTCTTTACCCCTTTCCTCTTGCCTCCCCCTCCATCTCTTTCCTCTCATCTTCCTCATTTCTTCCTCCCCAGCACTGAAACAACTATACGGGTCTCAGGAAATATAGACTCTATGAAAATCGCATTGAAGGGGGGGGGGGGGGTTCTTTATAAATACCAATAGTTCTTGAAGCATTTAGGTGTGCCCCAATCAGCCTATGTTCGTCCCATACCCCAGGCCATGCCCTCTACAATATCTGTCCAGCTTTGGACAGACAGACAGACATTTCCTGTTATGGTATACTAGGAGGGGGTTCGTCTCCGTCTCTCCCTTATCCCACAATAAATTATTAAAAAACAATAAACCAACTGTATGTTTTTTTTTTATTTATTTTTTTATTAAGAAATTAGGTACATCTGCATTAGTGCAGCTACCCTAGACTATATGAAGTGGAGTACAGTGTGTCAAAAAGAAGCTAACTAGGTGATGCTAAAAAATCCCCATCACACAGGATGGTTAGTCATACAGAGGCATGTGATAAGCGGTCTACACTGGCAGACTCCGGATGCATTTTGAGGATATCAACAACACAAGATTGAATAAGGTAGCAGTGGTAATACAAGTCCCCATCTCGCAGGATGGTTAGTCATACTGTATGGGGTCGTATGAAATTATAGTATAAATCCACGTTAACCACACGCCACATTTCACCATTGACACTGAAAGAATCCATGAAAATGGTCTCAAATTTCATAAAGCATTTAACTTAGACATACCCGTACTTGCCTATGTTCGTTCCGTATGCCAGACTATTTCCCCTGCAAAGTTGGGTGAGATTAACTCAAGCGTTTAGCTTCCAGCTCTGAACACACACAGACACACACACATACACACACACACACACACACACACACACACACACACACACACACACACACACACACACACACACATACACACAGATACACACACATACACACACACACACACACACACACACACACACACACACACACACACACACACACACACACACACACACACACACACACACACACACACACACCTCTTGACGCCTCCCCAAATAGATTACGTATCCATTAATATCTTATTTTTCTCGTTGTTATTAGGAAAACTAATTAGTGCCGTAATTATAATTAATTGTGTTGGGTGGTAACCTCACGGACGGCCATGAGAGGCTGGTGCCTGAGTTTTTGTAATTTTATGAAATATTTATTAAATATTAAATTCATTTGGATTACTTAAAAAATGAAAAAGACGATGAAATGCAAATTGTTGGATTTCTGCTTTTCTGAGAATTACTACTCAGAATAGATCTACCCGTCCCTCACTCCCATCTACACAGATCTACTAATAGATCTACTCAGTCCCATCTACCCGAAGAACACTCAGGTCCGGAATGTTTTGAGTGTATGTTATACACCTGTTTATATATATATATATATATATATATACGTACACTATGTAATGCACCTGTCCTATATACACTACATTTAACTCCCATATATTGTCAGTCTAAAGTACGATGTGTCCCTGTTTCTCCCCCTCATCTTCCTGTTTCTTCCCCTCATCTCCCTGTTTCTCCCCCTCATCTCCCTGTTTCTTCCCCTCATCTTCCTGTTTCTCCCCCTCATCTCCCTGTTTCTTCCCCTCATCTTCCTGTTTCTTCCCCTCATCTCCCTGTTTCTCCCCCTCACCTATCTGTTTCTCTCCCTCATCTTCCTGTTTCTCCCCCTCATCTTCCTGTTTCTCCCCCTCATCTCCCTGTTTCTCCCCCTCATCTCCCTGTTTCTCCCCCCCCTCATCTTCCTGTTTCTTCCCCCTCACCTTCCTGTTTCTCCCCCTCATCTTCCTGTTTCTCCCCCTCATCTTCCTGTTTCTCCCCCTCATCTTCCTGTTTCTTCCCCTCATCTCCCTGTTTCTCCCCCTCATCTCCCTGTTTCTCCCCCTCATCTTCCTGTTTCTCCCCCTCATCTTCCTGTTTCTTCCCCTCATCTCCCTGTTTCTCCCCCTCATCTCCCTGTTTCTCCCCCTCATCTCCCTGTTTCTCCCCCTCATCTACCTGTTTCTCTCCCCCTCATCTTCCTGTTTCTCCCCCTCATCTTCCTGTTTCTCCCCCTCATCTTCCTGTTTCTCCCCCTCATCTTCCTGTTTCTCCCCCTCATCTTCCTGTTTCTCCCCCTCATCTTCCTGTTTCTCCCCCTCATCTTCCTGTTTCTTCCCCCTCATATTCCTGTTTCTTCCCCTCACCTTCCTGTTTCTCCCCCTCATCTTCCTGTTTCTTCCCCTCATCTCCCTGTTTCTCCCCCTCATCTCCCTGTTTCTTCCCCTCATCTTCCTGTTTCTTCCCCTTCACCTTCCTGTTTCTCCCCCTCATCTTCCTGTTTCTCCCCCTCATCTTCCTGTTTCTTCTCTTTGAGCTTCACTTCTCGAGAGAACTTGCTCAAGAGTCACAAAACCTAGGTGTAAAACGCTCAGTCCAGCCCATTCCTCCTCCTCCTCCTTCCTTTCTTCCTTGTCTTCTTTCTCCTCCCTCTTCATCCTCCTTCCCTCATCTTAACAACCCACCCT